TAATGTTCCGCTGTAACGGTGGTAGACCATAGTGGTAGACTCATCAGAACAGAGTGGGTGAGCTGACCAATCAGAGCACAGTGGGCTCACAGGGAGGGGGGGGCAGGAGCTCCAACAAGCCGTTTAGGACAGAGAGTGAATACACATACTTTACAGAGATGCTGTATGAGAAACCAATGTGAGTTTGGAACATTGCACAATATAAATCTATTCTAGTAGACCTCAACAATGGAATTATGATCAGTAGAAATGGCCATGACATGGGACCTTTAACAATTTCATTTATCCAGTCAATTGTTTATTTAGTCTAAATGAATTAATTGGATGTTCTTTGATCTACCAACCAACAATAATAAAAACCTCGACTCTGTTGAGTTATAGCCGATTGAGGATCTTCCAACCCCTGACATAATACAGACTTTTTGTTAAATGTTAAACTTGAGAAACAGCAGCATGTATATCATGTTTCTGATTAATGCCGCAATATCAGTATAGATAAAAGGCTTTAAAAAACTAAGAAATTGGGACTTGATTAGAAGATACAGCATGTTTAAGTTAATTAGGACTATATTTGGTGTGATGTTAATCCTTCGTTTAAAAGCTACAGTACAATAGTTCATGAGAACTGTGCAAGTGAGTAGAGAAGTTCAAATACATTAGCATAAAGCATCTTTCAAAGACATTATTCCAGGTATATTCCCAATCCTTGGGAAACAAACTGTTAAAACTAAGCTCTTTCCAAACTTTGTACTAACCCAGTTAATGAATAAACAAGTTGAAATAGTTAGCTAAAAGTAATTAATAAACAATCAAAGTCGTTAAGTCAAAGTAATGAATGGATTAATCATTCTGGTTTTGGATTTGACAAAACGAAACAATGAAAGTTCCTTAGTATACTTAGTAGTGAGTTGAATAACATCCAGTATATAATCCATTGATGAAAACAGAAATAAGATCGGACTAACAGAAGCCAGAGTGTGGAACACCTGGAGAATGTATTGATGTGTGTTGCTCTCTGAAGCCAGCTGACCTGCAGCAGCTTGTTAGCAGGAAGGTTGCAACCTTTGACCTGCGCTGCTTAGTTAGGACAGGGTGGGCCATTTAAAGCTGGTGAGGGGGTGTCATGGTTAATAAGCGAACATCTGGAAGAGTTATGACCATTAGTGAAGCGCTTTGAGACTCTGACAAAATACCCTCATGAAAGGAGACACCACGCTGTGTGAAAATACAACACTTTCAAGTGAAAAGTAAAGAGCAGAAACGAGGCTTTCTCAGCCGACAGACTCAGGAAATGATCTCAAGAGTAAATGAAGCATTTAAGGAATGCTTCACCCCTTCATGGTATGGCAAGTTAAATGAAATATACCATTTATAAAGGAAACTTGGCTGAAAAGTGCCTTAGTTCTCCAAATAATACACAGGGGGGGACCTACAGTATGTCCTGCAACGGCCAGAAAAGTGTTTTCCATGGCCAAAGTGAGGACTCATTCACATCCACGTTCAAAGATGGCAGGAGCAGTTTACGGAGCGTAGTGAAGTTACACGATACCTCATTACACCACTGGCTGACTACTTATAAATGTTTCAGCTCTGGGATCTACGCTCATCCTGCTGCAGGGACAATAGTAGGACTCTGAATAATGCAGAACGAGCTTACAGTCATAATGAAGCCTCTGGTATCAACACGAAAGCCTGGATTTTTCTCCAGAGTGAAATTAGTTCGGGGAACTTTAAGGATTTTATAAAAGCCCACTGCCAAGATAATTACTGCATTTTCAGACACAATATTAATGAATTACCAATCTGAATAAAGGAATAGTTTGACACTTTAAGAGTTACCCTTATCCTCGTACAAGTTAGATAATAAGATTGATACGACTCTCATGTCTCTACGTTTTATGTAGCTAGCTTTATCTTGTGAGTTTAATCTGGACAAAGCCATCCATTTCCTCCTGTTCCCAGTCCTTACGCTTAGCTAGCTTATGATCCCAGCTCTGGCTCTAAAGTTAACCCTCAGACTCATAAATCGCTTTATCTAACTCTCAGTAAGAAAGTGAATAAGCACATTTCTCACAATGCAAAACTATTATTTTAAGGCAGAACAAAGATTATTGCAACGCGTAAACCATCTTGATACAATAAAGCTGAAGTAGATTACTCTTCAATCCTTTTGTATTTATGTGGCAGGTAGACACCATAGCATGATTCAAGTTGGTGTTTTCACTCACTACATGTGGTAAACGTATTGTGTGAGGTAGATATAATGTATTGTGTCCATGAGTAAACAACTGGACCACTAATGGTGGTGAAAAAAACTTGAATCTAGGTATTGATCACGGCAGAAACAAAAAACACCAACACATCATTTTCTCTAGTTCTCCTTTTCATATTTTGTGTTTCCTGCAGGTTACCATATGCCAATTAAGGAAAGATTTGAACTCAAACAGGATTATTCAGAGTATTCAGGTTACAGTGTAAATGTAAACATACAGTACTGTCAATAATGATCGTAAATTATTTCAGTATTTTTCTGTAAACAACAGCTGAAAAGGAAGAAAATGGCTGAGGAGATAATTTAAAGTGAGGAATGAGAACCACGTTCATGAGTTATGAGGAGAGGTCAACCCCAGTGCCAGGGGGGCCCATTCCCACAACGCAGCCTGTTTATACTAACTCCTCACCCTGCCTGTTTACCTCGGACTAACCTCACCACGAGCCCCTTCCTCCATCAACCCTCCCACACACCTCTCTTTCTGCGTATTCTCCCCTCAAAAAAGACCCACAGAACGATGTCTTCCCTCAGGCGATTAGCACTGATAACCAGACAGGACCAATAAGGAAGTAGCACAAATTAATCAAAGCTTATGTGTCCCAAAAGCTTTGTTTTACATCTATTTGATTAATAACTTAAACCACATCTGGTCTATTTCAGCTAAACATCTTCTAACCTTTACTTCCCTTTTAAAAACCTCCTCACGTCAGTAAATTCACGTCTCAACCTTGCTCTGACCTGAGAAAGGAAATATGGCTGTTTGGTATTCACTGTAGCACATAACTCATAACGTTTCTGTTTTCTAACTGGCATATTTATATGAGGACAATGTCAAGGCCTTTAAGTCCATGCCTGATATCAATCTAGGAGTCTGACTTTCACAGTCCCTTGCTGGCCATGAAATGGAGGGGACATTAATCCTGGGTAACAGAGGAGCGGCGGTGGTCTGCAGCCAGTCGCTGGGTGATTCACTGCTGACCCATTCTCAGTGAGGAGGCCGTAAACAGGACTCTTGACAGTCTGCCAGCACTGATTATTACCATACAAATTGCTGCAGTGCGAGGTGAAGGATTTTTTAAGGAGAAGAAGGAGGTGACAAATCCACACAGAGACGTGTTTGCTTACAAGTGTCTGGTGTGAAGCTCAAACATGAGGAGTCTGTAGAGGTTTCAGCACAGGCCTCACATCCGATTGTGAGCTCATGGTGTCTGTGTGCACCTTTGTGCTGACGCAGCGCATAGCAATAGAGCTCAACATCACCTTTGGCTTTCACAGTGTTTGTTTGTGAAACTGTCTCTCAGCAGGATGGCATGTCAGCCTCCACCTCCCCCCTCCACTGTCGCTCCACGCCCCCTCGGGACTCCCCTTGTGTGGTCTCGTCCTTCCCTTCATATCACATTCCTCCCTTTACTTGTCTGTGCACCTTTCAATTTGCCCTGGCTGATGGATTGATACAAAGTTAGCAGGTAGACGGCGGCATCCAGACTCAAAACACATTATGGGAAAGAACCTGAAACAGAGGACAGACAGCTGGAGCAGATGGGGACTCAAAGCCAATGTTTGTGTTGCTAAATCACTATCAACAACCAAAAGGGACCTGCTGCAGCTCAACAATTGGAAACCTGCCCCTAAAACTACTATCCTGCCGCTTCCAAATTTCATGGGATGTGCCTTTTGGAGTGGAAGGTGGTGCTTTGTGGCAAAAACATAAAAACAGTTCCCGCAGGTGTCAATTTGCAACCACCTAGAGTTCAGCATCTTCCTTCTGAAGTGGCAAAACATGTGAATAACCTGGTGCATCTCTTAAGAATACTGTCATTAGGTGTAAACCCTTACAGAGGGTTGTCATTTTCTCTAGTAGCCGGTGCTGTCGGGCATTTACAGCCCATGAGATTATGCTATAGTAAGCTACATAAAGGTTTCCATTCAGGTTTCTGTGCACATATATCCTGCTTTAAAACATCAGAACAGAGCCAGAGAAGGAGAGTAATTAAAGGTAATTACATGGTATACAGAGCTTTGTTTACAAGCTAGGGTAAACATATCAATGTGTCGACAACAATGGGAGGCTGATTGGTGATGTAGTCCTATAATGCACCAGACCTTATACAGGGGAACAGAGATTCAAGGAACATTATGTCTGAGGCAACAAACACTTGTAGTGTTACAAACGGTTTGAGACAACATTTAAATGATCATAGCAAAAAAAGGGATTATTTTTTCAAATGATGGCACTTTCTTTAAGGTGTTTCACATAAGAAGAAAAATCAGGTGAAAAACCAAAGTGATCACATTTTCAATTTTTGTTTTGAACAGGTGTTATATGCCTCTGCACAAACAAATGACTGAGTGACAACATAGTGGTCATAATTGTCTAAATCTAGAGTTAGAGATAGGGAGAACATAATAAAATAAACTTCTGTTCCCAACAACTTTAAGATGAAAAGATTTTAAAACACATGGAACAGAATTTAGTACTCATTCTTCTTCAGAGGAGGAGGAAGGGTTATAACCTCTGGCATCCCAGTGTTGAAAGTGTATTGCTTTCACACTTTTCTCTCAGGGTGGTAAACAAATGTTGTTTGTGCCATCTCTCACACCTGTGATAACTTTGTCTGCATGTGGATGCATTGTAGACTTACACACTGTACTACATGGTTGTATTTGGTAAGTTATTTGACTTTAGATAGATATGGAAAGCTATGAAAAGAGGATTGATGTTACATACCGACAGCTTTGATGATAAATCCCTTTGGTGACCTCAGAGCTCTGCGCATCCACGCTTCTCTCAGCACCTCCAAGTTGTTGGCGTTCCCCTGAATGAAAAGCACCAAGTTTTCCATCCATCCCTGAAAGTACACTTCAGCTACAGCTTTGACGAGTCTCTTATTCCATGAACTACGCAAATTCTGCGCCTTAAAGTCCGCAAAAATCTCCTGGCCGCTGGTAGTGTTGCCATTAAGTTTCACTCCTCCGGCGCGCAAACTCTCCTCGTCCGGGCCGAAGACTACGGCGATCGAAGCGGCGGAGAGCTGCACAAACCGCGGCTGCTGAGACATTTCTAACGCCTCTACTGGCTCCAGGACGGAGCTTTCATGCTAGAAATCTCAATGCACTTGTTAGGAGAGAGATCTCCTGTCTGAAAAATCTAAATAAACGCCGTGTTTTGCCACGCATTCCTCCAGTCGGCGTCTGAATCCTGGAGCGAGTGAAGCGCAGACTCTGGATGTCGTCCGGCTGCTGTCTGTCGGCTCCCAGGGAAACCAGTGACGCTGCAGAGGGGAGGAGGGGGAGGGCTTACACACAGGTAGACCTCCCACTGACTGTTGCTCCCTGTGTGTGTGTGTGTGTGTGTGTGTGTGTGTGTGTGTGTGTGTGTGTGTGTGTGTGTGTGTGTGTGTGTGTGTGTGTGTGGTGTGTGTGTGTGTGTGTGTGTGTGTGTGTGTGTGTGTGTGTGTGTGTGTGTGTGTGTGTGTGTGTGTGTGTGTGTGTGTGCGTGTGCGTGTGCGTGTGTGTGTGCGCGACTGTGTGTGACTGTTGCTTCTCTTCTGTAGATATCTGCCAGACAGGTGTTGGTTCACTCATGATTTTGATTTTAGTAATGACATTTATTGTTATGTTAGGGTTAGGTTTTTTTTTGTTGCTCTACTATCTGTTAAGTGTTTTAATCTAAGATAAGGTAAGATTTACTTTATTGATCCTAAATTGCCTTGGACATTTTTTACGTCAAAGCAGCATGTTAAAACAAGGCATTGTATAAGAGGGAAATAAAAGAGTAGAAAATAAACAGACATAGAATAGAAACATCTCAAAATAAAAAGTAGAACAAAACTAAAAAGTAAAATATATACATGTTGACCGTGAAAGACACAAATCTGTAGACTTTCAAATAAACACTAGAAGAGCAAAAAACAGCAAAAAAGATTGTTATAGTATGATATAATTTAATATGCGTGCAAGGAAGGGCATATTACATTAAATATAAATGTACAGTAGTGTGAAGAAAAAAGTGTTGCAGTTGTTCATTTAAAATCTCAGTTACATTTGAACAAATGTAAGGTGATGTGTAAGTGTTACGAACTCAGACACTTAGGATGTAGGACCCAATTGCACGACCCGGGAGACAGAGGTAAAGTATTAGTAAGATACTTTATTTTCCAAAATACAGCAATGAACAACAAAAAAAGGTAACTATCAAATCTCTAACCGAGATGACAAAAATAGAGGAACAAAATGAAAGCGCTCACGTAGTGAGGAATCAAACTTTACAAGAGTACAAAGAGCATAGACCTGACCATAGCAAGAGACAATACGAACTGACAAAGAACACTTGGGAGACAGGGGAATATAAGCACAGGGTAACTAGACACAGGTGGGACCAATCCGGGGCGGGGCTGACATTGATGAGCACAGGAGACACAGGTGAAAATAATCAGGAAGCCTGGAATGAGAGAAAGCAAACGTAAATAACATGCATCTCTCTAGCATTTCTGTCGGTGCACAACAGTAAGATAATTTAAGGATTAAAGTATCCAGGTAAGTGGCCTGCAAGTTGCAACACAGCAACAAATCTTGTCCATAAAGACGGAAAGGTCCAAATTAGGACCAGCGGCATGGAGGGCTTGTGAAATACTTCCTGCACATACATTGTTACATACATGAATCACCATCAAAGGAGACCCAAGATAAATGAGATTCCAACATAGATTTAAAGTAGCTTTTGTTGAGTGATTGGGAGTTAATTAATAAAATATCTGATTGTTTTCTTCACTATTCTCCTCATGGAAAGTCGCTGCCATAAATCATTTAATATTGATGCCAGAGCCAATTGTTCTGCGTTATAATCAGGGAACTCATGAGAAAAATGTATTCCCATGGAAAAAGGAAGCCTATATTGCATTTCAAAACAATGACTTGCGAAAATGCTGGTTGATAAAAGTGCTTGATCCTCAGGGAACATATATGCCGCATTAAAATGAGAACCAGTCCCCCCCCCCCCAGCGCTCTCAAAAGAGGGACCCCATTAATCCCTGCTTTTACGGACACTGTAACAGGCAGTCTGAAGCACAGACACCTCATATATCACAGTCTGAGAGCCTGTGGCTTGAGTTTCAGGAGCACTCAGGCCCCTGAGAGGCCCGGGGCCAGTCTGCCTCAGTGTGGTATTAGAGGCGGTGCGGGAACAGGATATTGCGTTTCCTCTGTACGTGAAAAGAATACATCACCTCAGCCTACACAGGATGAATTATGTGCAGTCCCTCCTGGTAGAAGCAGAGCCGAATGAAGCTGGAGGGCAGAAGAAAGAACTTGCAAAGTTTCAGTGTCGAATAAATATTCAAGTCTTTTGAGTTGAAGAGATTCTTTGTGAATTATATTTTTGGAGCTTTTGATAATCATTTTAAACCTTCCCAACCTTTACAAACAGAATATAAGCTTTGTTCAAACACACGTAACTTTTCATTTTTAGGGCGCTTCCAAAGATATATATCTGGCAGCTTAATTTTGGGAAGTTTGGATACATTTGTTTCTGTTTCGTGGAATGGTGTCTATGATCATCATTCATTGTGAACACACACAGTAGATTCAAGCTGATACAGAATGATACTAGACTATACTTTTCCTCATTTTGTTTATCTTGCATGCCCATGAGCACACTCATTCATTATTCATCAGTTTTATTGGCTCTGTTTCTCTCCCTGTTCAGCTAATTGACTCTTGTGCATAGCTGTAACAAAGATCCTAGAGTGCACTGGCCATATAGATGCTTACTGATTCAAAGTTGAACAAATACATTATTTATTTTTGTAGTATTTTATGCGTTTTAAGAGAGTAGCTAGAAGAGAGTTAGCAGGAAATAGGGGGAAAGAAAAAAGTCCCCGGGCATAAGAGAAATAGACTTAGGGAAGGGTATTGAATATTTATTTTTCAAAACATACAGTAACTTGTGGTATGTGTGATATAACACACGGACAAACACACAAAGGCATTTTTAGCACTGTTTGCTTTACATGGAAGTTTGCAGAAATGCTCTCATTGTTTGATACTGTTAACTTCCTCTCGATAAAAAATATTGGCACACACTTTTGTTTTATCTGAACACGGACAATGGGACTTGACCCAGCGGTCTGACCCGGATTCCAAATCTAAGAGCTCTTTCTTCAGAATGTTTAGTCTGCTGGTGGGACTGATTATCAAGAAGCAAAGTTCAGCAAGTCACCATAATTACATGAAATCCTGCACTGCAGCCCCTTATTTCCAATTACCATACATATCTCTCCCTCTTGCTGTGCATGAAGCAATTCCAGAGTAGTATCAGGTGTCTCTGAAGGGCCAACGGCCTTGACGTGATCACAGTGTATATTTTGAAAATGATAATTTCAATGAACCACAATCCTGAACCTGAATTTTGAGTCTCTACATACAAACTAAAACATCTGGTCATGCTATAAGATCTTGGCCCTGGGGACTCCTTCTGACTAAAACATCCCCCAGAAGGCTTCCTCTTCACCTGCATGCCAAGAATATGACCCGAATCATCCCTAAACCTCAGCAGAGTTCCTGCCCGAGAGCCAGCAGGTTCATATAAAATGCTTTAATAAAACCTTCACTTTTACAAGACTTACATGTGTTTTAGAGGGTGTAGCATGTCACCTATTTGTTAGGGTTAGGATGGCGCTAAGGAATTTAAATCTGAGGTCTAACAGAGAGGCCAGTGCTGCCTCATAGGGCGGGGGTCAGAGGTCATCAGAGGGTCAGGTGTTGGCTATTTGTTCAGTAACCTGTCAAAATCTCCAGAAAGGATAAAAGGATTTACATTTTTTAAGACAAATGAGGCTACACGCCTATCAGGGATAGCTGTTGTGAGTTTAGAAGGATATTTGATTTTGGGGGTTACCCTATCTTTAGGAAACAAAGAGTTGACTTTCAAAAAACCGGTTAAACACAGCCAAGGTATCTGATGTATATTTTCTTGGATCCAAAATATAATTCTGTCATCACCCTGCTTGTTAAGATCTTTTTTTTTTTATCAATGACAGAGATTTTGAAAATCTTTAAGTCAGTGAACATGCCCCGACATCTGTCCAGGTACTCTGTTATTACCGTTTCATTATTTCAGCACTTTGCCATCACGGGGGAGATCAAAGGGAGACCAGGCTGGTTTTCGTTCAGCCTCTGCAGAGCGTATTGACATTTAAGACAGTAATGTATATGCACGCTCCAGCGCTTAAGAGCACAAATCAATGCACATCTTAAGTGAAACCTGCAGGAGCCACCCACTTTAGAGTCAGAAGGGAGCCAGACAAACATAATGATAGTGGTTTTGCCATAAAACATGATTACTTAAGTCTGGGTTATAATTGAGTCATGTTGTTTTAATAAGTCTAGGGCTGAGAGCGAATCCAGCAAAGCACTTAGTTCTCAGAGGAGGGTTGCTTTTCAGCATTTTAAAAGATTTTTACAAAAGAGCAAAAGAGAAAAGAAAGAGATTTACAGTTACTTTGAGCACTGTGTAGTGTATTAAGGTGCTGAGTGATGGTTTACACCCACACCCCTATGAACCACACACACACACACACACACACACACACACACACACACACACACACACACACACACACACACACACACACACACACACACACACACTCATACACACACTCACACACACAAAAGACCCTGTGGATATGCTGCAGATCACAGCCATGTGAGAGATGTCTGCAGCTGCACTTTGAGGTTGTGTGAGAGTCAGGAGGGTCGGGTGGTTTTAGTCTCCTCTTTCTTCCAGTTTGTGCCCAGCCAAGTTCACAGGTGCAACGACTCTCATCAAACACTGAACTCCGTAAAGCCATAACAGGGTGTTTTTGTGTTCCCATGGGAGTTTCTCACGGAATTAGGTGGTGGGCGAACAGGCAAAATAAGAAGATAGGAGTTTGTTTTCTAAATCTTCTGAAAAAAAACAGTTTTGTTTGATTTTAGCAGATACAATGTTGGAAAAGGAGAAGTTGTCCTCACACAACTCAACACGCCTTGTTAGCAGGTGCCAGCATGCTAACAGTTGATACCACAAAGTACAGCTGAGGCTGATGGGAATGTCATTTATCTGCAGGTCTTTGGTCTGAAACCAAAGTATTTGACTAATTAAATGTAACCTGATGGTGGCATCATATGAAAGTTAAATGATCACCAAAGAATAAAG